TTTTTTTTTTTTTTGGAAGAGGTTTATACTTGGTTAATAAAATATATGGAAAAGGATCCGTGGTATTTCTTCTTCCCCTGTAGAGCTTAAGAGGCAAAGCACCTCCCTTTTTGCCGCCTTTTGGTGTAAATTCTGCAACGAGACTAATAAAGTTTAATTGGCCGTTAAGAAATGTGCTGGAATGTACTCTTGATGAAGAAGTCCACCAATTTTAAGTGTTTCGAGACAGAGAGCCCTTAGTGCTCCCGGGCAAAAATAGCGTGAGCTATTCTATCTCTTCCTTGACAGGTTTTTTGGTTTTGTTGAAAAGAGAAAGAAAAAGTAGGAAGGGAAGCTGGAGGGATCCAGTTGGCAAGGAACCACCTCTGCACCTCCAGAGAATTCTATGAATGAGGCTGGTGACATGATAGAAATCTCCTTTTGGAAAGCATTTATAATACCTGATGCTGGAGAAGCATTTTGCATAGAGTGCTTTGGGTGACTTTTGAAAAGTTGCAGATTGAGACTTAATCTACAAAAGGATCAGGTCTTTGACGGTTAGGTTTTGGCAGGATCTGCACAGGAGTCAAATTATGCCATCAAACTGGGGATCCTGCAGGGGGGAATATGGGTCTTCATAACACCTCCTAAGGAGCCACTCCACACACCCTCACTTTTGACCATTCGGGTGGGCAATACCAACATTTGGAAATGTCTTTTATTTATTTTTTGGTGAACAACAGACTAGCTGTTGAAACATCTCAGAAGGTTGTTGATAGATCTGCTGAATGGAAGACACTTTGAGGATGGTTGCCTAGCACCACTTGCTTTGAACTGCATCTGTCGTTCCAGGGTCCATTTTCCCGGCTCTTTCCCTCTGCATATATGCATTGCTGTATTTCATGTATGCACTGAAATTATTTGGAGCAAGCGCATAAGAGGGAGGTGTTCTAGCCTTGACCCCTCTCTGATATCCTGGTGGAGCAAGGCAGTGTTTGCGCAATGCGCTCAGCATGCCTTAGTGTTCAACATGTTTCTGGCATTCATCCAGTCAATGTGCCCAGACTGATATGATGAAATATTGCCAGTTTCTGTAGTTTGGGGTTGGTGTCCTGGTTGGCTTTGCCAAGATTGATTGATTGGCACTTCCTGTATTTCCGGGGCTACGGCAACAATGGAATATTGGCATGCAGGTTGGGGGATGTGAAGTCATTCTCCCCTCTTAAAAGGAGGTCCAGCAAGGCTGAAAAACAGAAAACGGAGCAGCAGAAATGTGATTGCAAGAGCAGATCTGTGTTATTGTCACTCTTGCTTCTGTTACTTTCCCTGCAAGACGAAGGGTAGACCAGCCTTGGGCAAACGCCAGGGTACACCCAGTGATCCTTAACCAAGAATAAATCAGAGCTGTAGTTAATGGCCTTTCACTCAACCATAAATTAACCAAGTTTCCAATTTGGGATGATCCTACTGGCTAATTTCAATAGGTCTTAACATGTTGTGTAAAGACTGAGGCAAGCATTTCTTTCCCAAATAATCCTTTGCTCTAACACAGTGTTTCTCAAACTTGGCAACTTTCAGACATGGGGACTTCAACTCCCAGAATTCCCCAGCCAGCATGGCTGGCTGGGGAATTCTGGGAGTTGAAGTCCCCATGTCTGAAAGTTGCCAAGTTTGAGAAACACTGCTCTAACATAACAGTTTACTGGGCTTTTTAAAAACACTGTTGTGGGCATTTTTAAAATAGCGTTTCTCCTGATTTTCTTCTGAACCTTTGCTTCATCTGCGATGTGAAGTTTTGTGTTCCGAAAGCAATCTGTGAGCAGAAGCAGCTAGTTGACGGAGCCAAAAACCTGCCATTCTACACACTTGACTCCTCACCCCACTTGGGGTTGTGAATTCCAATAAAGAACAAAGCCAATTACGCCAAAGTAAAAACTTGACTGTAGCTTCCTTTAATCCACAGCCTATAGCTGAATGGCTGCCAGATAAGCAGATGGGTGGGAATGATATGGGTTGGGTCCTCTCTTTGTAAGGAGCTATCAAGACTTGCTAAAGGGTACCGTTAGCGAGAGGTGGGTGGTACAAGGGATTTCAGCTCCTTCTCTTACACCCATTGAAAAATGAGCAGGCAACAAAGGGGAAGGGATGGGGAGAAAGCAAGAAAGACATTTTTACAAGGGTCGGAGATATCATGGCGCTTGCTCTAAAGCCTAGAAAACAGATTTGGTGTTAAAGTGTGTAAAGTCTAGGGCTTCCTACCAGATAGAGCGATTCAACTCTCTCCCTGCTTTGCAGCAGTGTTGGGAGGGAGAGGGTCAGAAAAGTCAAGGTGGTGGCTGTGACCGTGCAATCAAATTTGTACATGCAATGTGGACACCCCTGCTACTCTGCATTCCTGAGCAGAGGGGGATAAGGAGGTTGATTGCAAAGAATTAGGAAGCCATAAATGTGGAGACATTCTGCATATAGCAGTACACAGGAAACATGGTGTGTGTATGTGTGTGTGTATATATATGTATGTTCTTAGGTTTAAATTCTGGGTCTCTCCTGTTGAGTCAACAGCTGTGTGGCTTCAAATTTCTTGGCTTTGAAGGTGTCTGTCATCAGTCCCTTGAATACAAAACCACTTTTTCTGGCATGAGAATCAATGATTTCTGTATCACCAACTTCAAGTCGTGCATTGAAATAAAGATGCCGGCATGTCCCGAATCAGTTGTTTTGCCGTGTGAGATCTCTTGTGGAGTTTTGAAATGCTTAACCGAGTTTCACATTTGCTTGCATTCAGTTGCTTTTAAGGACTTAGAAAAAAGTGGGACTGGGGTATCGAATACAGTAATATCCCTGTCTAAGTGCAGCTTGGGTTTGTCAATCATCGGCTTCTTGGCTTTATTAGCAAAGGAGTTTCATAAAAAATAGCAAGAGGCCAAAATGTCAATGTCAAGTACAAGCTTCCAAAAAAAAAAAGAGAGAGAGAGAGAGAATGGAAATGCTTAGCAGGTAGGTTCTATATATATTTATTAAAAATTTTATTAATAGTTTTAAAAATGGAGTTAAAAACTAATATAAAGTAAGGAAGAAAAAAGAAAAAGAAAGAAACCAAAGAGAAAGCTAAAAGTGAAAGAAAGGAAGGAAGGAAGGAAGGAAGGAAGGAAGGAAGGAAGGAAGGAGAAGAGGAAGAGGAAGAGGAAGAGGAAGAGGAAGAGAGAAAAGAAAGAAAAAAATACAGAGAAGTGGCCTCCGATCTTTCCAGCAGTGATAAATACAATAATAAATTTACCTCTTACTCTATGGTTAAAACATGATTCTCTTCTTTCTATAATCTCTCCTGTCTAATCATCAAAACCATAAATCACAAGTTCATTTTTTTCTGTTTTATGCAAAAAGTCCATAAGGGGTTTCCAGTCAGCAATAGATATTGTAGATGTTGCCTTTTCTTACGTTGGTTCTAACAATAGTGGTTCAGAATCATGTCTAATTTGGGGGCTTAGCACAGGCCATGCCCGACTGCACCTGTTTTCATTTGCCACATGTGCAGTCATTTATCTGTGGCAGAATTACACATGGGGTGGAGACACAGACGTTCCAGGGAAGGAGTGCCATCGTCCCGTAATCATGAATATTGCATCATGCGGTGTTGGTGGACACTGTGTTGTCCTTAGGGCTTAGAATGGGTGTCTGTGGGTGGAAACGAGATCAATTCTTCTCCTACTGATGTCATCCAATTAAACTGCTTGGCCAAAAGAAGAGGACAGAACGGAGAGGGCCCTTCTTCAGGCACAAAATAGTTAAAACAGGCAGTTGGCTTCTGGAGAAGGGACAAGGTGACCAGGGACTTAGATAAGAGGAGCGGGAAAAGAGAATTAGGAAGTTATTGCAGCTAAGGCTGCAAGTTAGGACAGCTGAAGCGCGCTTCAGTTTCAGAAATAGCATAACTCTGAAGTCTCCCTTGCTGTGAAACCTCAGTGGGGAAAGCACAATTACATTCCTGCCGTGTTTGTCGGCTTCCCAGGGGTATTGTAACGGTTGGTTCCCAGACAGATAAAGATTCAGCAGAGGGTTGCTTAAACAGCCAGTTGTAATCTTCTCTGTTACCAGTGAAAAGGCTCTACCTTAATATACATGGAGATACTTTGGATCTAAATTGGAAGTAGTTCAGTTGCTGGAGTCCTTCTAACTTCATTCCTTTCGTCTCAGTGCATCTTGCTAAAGAGGACTCAGATTGTGCTCGGCGAAAATCCTTTTGGGTTTTAGGCAGCTGCTAAAAAGCCAGATGACTGGTGTCAAAAGCAGCTGAACCGGAGAAGGCTGTGCTCAGATCCAGCAGGGGCTCTTTTAATCACCTTTATTTTTAAAAAACATTATTTCACAAACTAAAGAAAGCAACAATAGAACAAATGTATATAGTAGTATTAAAGGATTGACCCAACCACATTAAGAAGTGTAGCATTAAAGGAGAAGGGAGAGCTGGAAATTATTTTATAAATGGAACAACTCCCAAAGTTTTGACTGTATTGCATGAAAGTTGCCTTAGTTCCCTTTCGTTGAAAAAAGACTAATTCAAATGTTGGCCAAATAACACATATCAACTATCCATTGCTACAAGTCAGATGTAGATGTTTCTTTCCAGTGTTAGATGATCCCCCCCTTTTTTTTGCCAGCTTCCATTCATGAACATGCCACAGTCTTGTTATTTTGATATCTAATCACATTTATTTATAAATTAATAAATATTAAAAAGTGCATAATTACTCAAGAGATTGGGGGTGGAGGTGAATGCCCTTGGCTTCCTAGCACTAACCAACTGGTGCTGTCCGCAGCTGCAACTTTGCTAAGCTGTGGTTTGAGTATTTGGGGAACCGCTTTGAAGAAGAAAGTTGGTTTCAAACTAAATCTCACAGAAGCACTTCCATAGCAGCTCCACCATCTGTCCCCAGCCTTCAATTACTGTCCGGGCAGTATTAACTCATTCAAAAGGATTTGGTCGGCTCACTGGTCCTTCCTTCCACTTTCTCTCTTTGTAGATTGACAGGACAGAAACGGCGGTGAACAACCTCAACCCAGCTTTCTCCAAAAAGTTCATCGTAGATTATCGCTTTGAGGAGGTCCAGAAGTTGAAATTTGCCTTGTTTGACCAAGACAAATCAAGCATGCAACTGTATGAACATGACTTTCTGGGGGAATTTTCTTGCACTCTGGGAACGGTGAGTGTTATTGTGGATATTTGGCTACTAATTCTTTTGGCAAGAGAAAGAGGGTAGAAAAGAGAACAATGGGAAAGAACGTTGAACCCTCAAGCTGGTTGGAGCCACTCAATCAAGTCCAACCTCTGCTCAGGTCAAGAATCCAAGGTGGAATGTCCCTGACATACGCCTCTCTATCTTCTGCTGGAGGACATCCAGAGAAGTGGGTCCCACCATTTCTCTGTAATACCTCCTAGATCAAAGCCCCTCATTAAGTTTCCTTAAAACAGGCACAGCTTCTGGTGACTTCCTGGACTCATCCATATTGTTTCCTTGGCAACAGTACATAAGTGCTTTGCCGTCTTTCCTGGTCTCCCATTCAAGAACTGACCAGGGTCAACCCTGCTTAGCTTTCCAGTCCAGGTCAGGTCACCCATTAAGACAAATGACACCAAAGATCAGTGAGATTCTGGACTGTGTTCTTTGGTACTGGATAGCTAGAAGCTCTTGGGAAGCCACAGGGGGAACATAAAGCAGGGAGGGCAAACAACATTTTAATTTTCTTTTTTATACCTCTGTATGTGGAGTGATGTTACTCAACCTTTATTCTATGTATTTCGGAGACTTGGAAAAGGGTTCCAAGCAAAATTTGGTGCTTTTAAAAATGGAAAGGGACACCCCTGGGAGCTGGTTGTTTGCTGCTGAATTTTAACAAGGTAATCCTTAGGGTGGGGAGGGGATTCCAGGAGCCCCCAAAATGGGGTTGGGGGCTGCATGCAGGTTACCCTCCCCCGATATAAAGGCACCAATGCTCCTGTTATTTATTCTCAGAGTAAATTAGAAGTATCAACTACTTCTGTCTGTAGCAGTTCAGGGAAGGCAGTGTGGCTGGTCCTTACTTAATAGTCTAATCATTGAGGAATTTGCCAGTCCTTTTAATAATTGTCTAAACTCATGATTGCTCTGGTAGAGTACTCATATGCTAGGAATGTAAACAATGATAAGCTAAGAAAATAAGAGAAAGAGGCGAGAGGCAGTAGACAGAGTAAGAAAGGAAAAGAGAAGGGAAGGGAAAACAGAGAAAGAGAGAGGAAAGGAAAGGAAAGGAAAGGAAAGGAAAGGAAAGGAAAGGAAAGGAAAGGAAAGGAAAGGAAAGGAAAGGAAAGGAAAGGAAAGGAAAGGAAAGGAAAGGAAAGGAAAGGAAAGGAA